GAGGTGCCTGCCAGTCTGGGTGAGGGGCTGCAGGCTGTTTTCAGGCTGGGGGGTGACTGAAGCTCCCAACTGCTCCTTTTTTTCTTTTTTCTTTTTAATTCTGGGCCAGCTTTAGCTTTGAGGCTTGGCTCCAGCTCTTAGGCCTCCGCTGCTGAAAGTAGGTTTCTGGCCTTTGCTTACAATATTGCGATCCTGCTGGCTGAAGTCTGGCGGTATTTGTTACATAGTTTCTTAAACTGCAGGCTCAGAGGCCTGCAGCTGCAGGCGGGGAACGTTGGTTTCCTCTGTCACTGAGGCAAGCAAGCCTCATGTTAGTTTCAAGCTGCCTGGTTGCTGGCCGCCATCTTGGCTGTCAGTTAATTTGCATATCTCGCTGATTAGCCAATGGGAAGGGTAGCAGTCGTACGCCAATTACCATGTTTCTCTTTTATTAGTGTAGATAACTTAAAATATGTTTCTGTGGGTATTTTCTTAAACTGAAAACATTTCTAAATGATAGTAATCAGAGCAATAGGAGCTTCCAGCTCTGAAGAGAACAACTATCTTTGAGTCATTTAATGTCTATCCTGTTACAGCAGCTGAAGAACCAGAAATGAAGAATGACTAGTACAAATAACAAAAAAAGACACTAGACCAGGGGTGGGCAAACTTTTTGACTCGAGGGCCACAATGGGTTCTTAAACTGGACCGGAGGGCCGGAACAAAAGCATGGATGGAGTGTTTGTGTGAACTAATATAAATTCAAAGTAAACATCATTACATAAAAGGGTACGGTCTTTTTTTTTTTTAGTTTTATTCATTTCAAATGGGCCGGATCTAACCCGCGGGCCGTAGTTTGCCCACGGCTGCACTAGACTCCCCACTGCTAGCTCTTTAAAACATAAGCCTTCTTTCTATATGAAGGGATTTGAGTGAAATTATCAGGTGGGGGTGGGGGGAGCAGAAACCCAACCCTCTTCAGTGCCTCACTCTCCTTTCTAGAAATACCAGATTTTCTGAGGTTAAAGTACAGACCAAAGTCAGAAGACCTATACTTCCCCATCCCTCACGCACAAGGACGTCAGTTCTTGTATGTGGCACTGTTGTTGAGTTGTATGGGGACTGATGGTCTCTCTCAGCCTCTCCCCATCATTTGGAGTTGTTCATCAGATAAGGTCCATCTGTAATCTCACACATAAATCCAATTCCATCATGGCTGACTCCTGGTCAAAGAGAGTCTAAAAGCTGAGATACTCAGTTGGGACCTATGTCAGTGACTAGGATAGAAAGCTCTCAGGAGAACCAATGGGAGGGAGTCTGCCTCCAGGCTGCAGTGCCCGTGTGGATGCCAGGTGCAAGGCGGAAAGAATGCTACCCTGGGAGAAGATTTCTTTCTTGTTCTAGCCCTATTCTGCCACTAATGACAAGATGACCATGGGCATTAGATCTGTTTTCTAGGGCCTTTGGTTTTCCTACCTGAAAAAAAAAAAAAAAGGATTTGATTATTCTCTCAGTAGTTTTCAACAAGAGAAGGAGAATGCCTGCGATGCTGCCTTATGTGTAATCTGTCCCCCAGGTTAGAACCACCACTGGATAAGATAATTTCAAAACTCCTACATAAATGCCTGAATCCAAAGAGACCACATTATAGTCCAAAGTAAAGGGTCAAAGTTTTATGGAGTTAGCGTCTGTGCTGTTCTTATAGTTTTCCCAAAAGCCGTCATCATTCCTGTTGGCATAGATGGCGTTCTCCAAGTAGAAGATAATTTAGAAATAAGACTCCACCCTGTCCAAGATGGAAAATCAGAAAGTTTTACCAGGTTCCAATCTCAAGAATTTAAAACAAACATTGCCTAGCCAGCTCTGTTCTGGCTTCCCTGACCCCACACCCTTCCCCACCCCTGTCAACCTCCACAGCCAGTATGTCTTGAAAACTTAAGGCCAAATGGAGCTTTCTATCAATGTAATCTTAAACTTCCTGCTAGCTTTCAAATTAAATCTTTTTAAATTGAATAATATTAACTATTAGAGGCCTGGTGCACGAGATTTGTGCATTGGTGCAGGGCTCATCCTGATCAGCCGAGCAGCTGTGGACCCACCCTCTGAGCAGCTACTTCCACTGCAGGACCACCGTTCTTCCCAGTCAGTTGAGTGGCGCTCCCACTATGGGAGTGCACTGATCACCGGGAGGCAGCTCTTGCATTGAGTGTCTGCCCCCTGGTGGTCAGTGCGTGTCATAGCAACTGGTCAACCCGTTTTTCCACCATTCTGTCACTGGGCTTTTATTATATAGGATTTTATCAATATTTTCTTGTTTTTACCAACCCATTCTTCCAAAGATACCATAGTTTTCTGTCCTGATTTCTTTTTAAAAGTTCAATGAAAAGGTTGCCAAATGCTGTAGGGAGTCACAGGCCTAATCAGATAACTTAGGCAGAAAACAGAAGTGTCTTTGTGCACAGTCCCTGGACTGAGGTACTTGGCTTTTGGTTGATGAGCTGAAGAGAGGAACCATCCGTGGCTGGTGTCAAAGTGGCACATTTTTATTGTATTCTTATCTATTTTTAACAGTGTTGTCTGAATTCCAACACCTTTGCATTTTGCATATCCTCTAAATCAGTGAGAAACACTACTGTCACTTTCAACTCCATACCTAAACTACTATGCTTCTATTTTGTTCTTTGACAAAACAGACCGTCAAGTTGTGCAAGGGGAGCCTGGCAGAAAAATGAGCATTGCTCTGCAGGACATGATGGGCTCGCAGCTTGTGCAGTGTAGAAAGACTAGGAAGTCTAGTCATTGTGACTTATTTGTACATTTGTGGATTTTCTTTCTACCCAGAAACTGACAATTTTTTTTCAGGTATCATTCATGTTAACATCTGAGTCTACCTCTTTAAATGAACTTGATGTCACCTCTGATCTGATCATCTCAAATTATAATGCGCCCTAAAAGTTTCCTCCATATCCAGGAAGATGAAAGTGGGATCAAGTATCTAGATTATCATCGCCTTGGTGAAAATCTCACAACACACATGCTATCCATGCCCTGTCCCCTGAAATACAGCATGAAATATGTAATGATAAAATGTTCATTGCAGTTTTGTCTATAATATGGAAGGAAGGGGGAGGAAAAACTAAATAGCAGCAAACATTTACATTTGTACAAAGAAAATATGAAAAGAATGCAATGTTGGATATTCATTAGAATGTCAACTATGTTAAAATATTGCTGCATAGAAAAAGTTGGAAGAATATATACCACAAATTAATAAGGAATATCTCTGAGTGGTGCAATATGGGTGATTCTTAGTTCCTTTTCCCCCTGAATTTTAAATATTTCTGTAAGCTGAAACATTACATTTAATATATAT